CCCTGCCCCTATAGGCCACTGACCCAGCAGACACCTGACCCAGTGGACCCCTGCCCCTATAGGCCACTGACCCAGCAGACCCCTGCCCCTATAGGCCACTGACCCAGCAGACCCCTGCCCCTATAGGCCACTGACCCAGCAGACCCCTAACTAAGATGACCCCCAATACTAGATTCCCCAACTTCTTCAGCCATGCAGACAAATCGCTTGTAGCTTTAGCCAGGCCCGTTGTAGGCCCCCTTTCTGCTGCCTCACGTCCTTAGAGTCCTGTTCTCCGGGGTACCCAGAGAATCCACCTGCAGCTTCGTCAGTCCCAGCTCTCCAGCCCAGAATCCGCCTCATCATTACTTCTCTTGGATGTCCTGGCCACTTAGCCTGAGGCTGCAGCACCTGGCAGCCCCACAGCACCCACCTCCACCCCACATACACTGAGACCATCTCCCACCATCCACTTACTATTGATTTATTTAGGGGAACTTGGGCTTCATTTTTTTGAATTTGAGACAATGTCTTGCTAATTTACTCAAGCTGCCCTCATACTTGCTATGGAGCCCAACCAGGCCTTGAACTTGTGATCCTCCTGCCTTGGCTTCCCAAGTAGCTGGAATGACAGGCATCTACCACCAGGCTTGGATGACCATTCTTAAATACTTGTCCCACTTAAACTCATAAAGAGATGCCTTGTAAGGGCTCTTTAATGGGGACATTCCATCAGATGGTATTAGCCAAACAATGCTGTTCTCCTTGTCTCCCTGTACTGAAGACACTCAACATCCCTGTGTATCTTTTGCCTTCTGTTTCAGTGGTGTCTTGGGTTTTGTGGCAGCCGTTCTCTTAAAATCATTACCCATGGATCAGGACTGCTTGAGAGATAAATGCTTACACCTTGATGGATGGAAGGCCAGAGGCAGAAGGAAAGTGCTGACACCAGGAGGCAGGCCCTCTGACTGGGAGAAAGCAGCCACATGTTTTAGGTTGCCATGGGCCACTGAGGCATGGGCAGCAGGCTCATGCTGTCATGTGTGTGTCATGTGTGGCTGGTCTAGGTCAGGTTCAACTCCATGATCTGTTCTTTATCCCTAGAAAGTCTGGGTAGTCCTAGGCCCCTGGTGCCTCAGTATGATGCCTGGGAATAAAGTTACGAGTACAGATCACCCAGCCAGGCCCACAAACCCTTTTCATTGTGTCAAGCCATTGAAAGTCCTGGTTTGTAGCCAGACGCACGCCTTCACTCCCAGCACTCAAGAGGCAAGCAGATCTCTGTGAGTTCAGGGCCAGCCTGGTCTATAAAGAAAGTCCAGGACAGCCAGGACTGTTACACTGAGAAATCCTGCCTCGAAAAACCAAAAAAGAAAATAAAGTACTGGTTTGTCACAGCTGTTGAGCCTATTCCAATATAGAAATCAGTTCCTGAAAGGAAGTTTCTTCTATATAAAAATCTAAACTAAGGGCCACTGACATGGTTCAGTAGCTAGGGGTGCCTGATGCCAAGTCTGAGGACCTGGGTCTGATCCAGGGCCTGCATGGCAAAAGGGAGACCCAGCTCCCACTGTCCTCTGACCTCTGGACGTACTCCAGGGCACATATGCTCTACACATGTGCACTAAAGTTTAATGTTTTTATTTAACTAAATAATGTTTTTTGAAACATACAAGTGTAGCATTGGCTTGGCAGGTGAACATAAAAATAAAGAAACTGATTTCAAGGCTGAAAAGATTGTGGTCCAGGTGAGGCTTCAATCAAACCTGGACCAAGATGAAACACTAAAACTGCAGCCAGGTGATTCCCCAGTTCCAGGACAAGAGGTCAGAAAAGCCGGTGGAAGCTGGTGCAGTCGCCTTTCAGAAAGGTTTTGGGGGGGTTGTTATTGTTTTTAATTTTTATTTATTCCTCTCAAAGGTTTTATAAGAGGTAAAATTAAGCAGCAATTGGCCGGGCATGGTGCTAAATGCCTTTAATCCCAGCACTATAAAGGCAGAGGCAGGCAATCTCTGTAAGCACAAGGCCAGCCTAGTCCACACAGTGAAGTCTGGGAGGAAAGGCAGGGGACACAAGTCCACTTGAAAACAAGCAAAGGAAAATGAAATTCAAAATATGAACGACTATAGAAGCAAAAAGTCTCAACAAGGAAAAGAAGAGAGGCATGGCTTACACAATCCCAGCACTCAGGAAGCTGAGGCAGGAGGATCACCAAGAGTTCAAGACCATCCCAAGCTACCCTGGAAAGATGATGCAGAAAGAGAAAAAATGGTTTTAGTAGCAAAACTCAACTGAACACACGAACGGGACCCTCCCCCCCCAGATGTCCAGTGTGCAGTATGGCAGCCCATACTATCACTTCAATTCCTTGAAGACTGTACCAATGGGTTAACAGAAAAATATGGACAGAGCCAAAACAGAAAAGAAATTAGGCAGCCCTGAAAACCTGAGAATGGGGTGCAGATGATCAAAAAAAGTATGTTACATCTCTGAGGAGACAACGTTGCCATGGAAACCTCACGGGGGTAGGGGAGGAACTGCAGCCTAGGAACAGCTTCCTGCTGTTTGCTTCTGCTCTGAGAGCCCGAAGCAGGTCCTCGGCTGATAGCAGACAGCTGCATCTGGGCAGCCTGCACACTGACCGGTTTAGAGGTGGACAAGACAGCAACAGAAAAGGGACACTCTCCAGAGGAAATGGGACTCAGTGGCACAACCTGCCAATGAGCAAAGAAAACCCTCCCCGACCCAGGGGAAGAGAATCAGAGCCTACTGAGGAAATTCCTGGCCTGGCTCCCAGAATCTGGATTTTTTTTTCTTCCTCTTTCCTTGTCCTCCTCTTCCCCCTCCTTCTTGTTTTTTGTTTGTTTGTTTGTTTGTTTGTTTTTGTTTTGTGACAGGGTTCCTGTTTGTAGCCCTGGCTGCAGAGTCTGGATTTCATGCCCCAGGGGGATGGGTTTCAGAACTTCTATAAGCAAGTGGATTCTCGATGGGTTCTCAACAGGAATCCCTTTTGCAACTCCCGTCTCTAGCCTGTTTTACACTAAATGTGGGCTTGATGGCACACGCCCATTTTTTTAATGATACATTTATTTATTTTATGTATGAGTGCTCTATCTGCATGTACACCTGCATGCCAGAAGAGGGCCATCAGACCCCAGTACAGATGGTTGAGAACCACCATGTGGTTGCTGGGTATCGAACTCAGGACCTCTGGAAGAGCAGACAGTGATCTTAACTGCTGCGCCATCTCACCAGCCCCACAATCTCACCTTTAAGTTTGCCTGGTCTACAGAGTGAATTCCAGGACAGCCAGGACTACACAGAGAAACCCTGTCTGAGGGGTGGGGGGAGCGGCAGACAGGCTGGGAGGAGATGGACAGAGGGGTTTTTTAAGTTCAAAAGGGAGTTTAAGTTTTCCTTCAGTGGAATTACGGCAAGGAGCGAAGAGGGTCTGACTGCTCTTCCAGAGGACCTGGGTTCAATCCTCAGCACTCATACAGCAGCTCACAACTGTCTGTAACTCCAGTCCCAGGGGATCTGATGCTCTTTTCCAGCCTCTGCAGGCACTGCAGCCTCACAAGCAGGTCCCTGCCTCACGCCTTAGGAGCATCCCCTAACTGGGAAGAGCCTCTGCCCATCACTGAGCCCATCATCCGCCCTCCTGACCATGTCTTCCCTTAGCATCATCCATCACCCCAAAGCCCACCTGCCTGCACAGAGGCCTTCCTGCTCCACTGGTAATTCCAAGGCCCAGGCTGGGATTTGAGCTGGAAATCACCTAGGGAGACTGAGCCCCCCTGATTGTAGGTACACTCTTAACTCTAAGACAGTCACTCCCTCTCTGATGGAAAAACATCAGCTAGGAGAGTAAGAAGGGGGGCTGGGGAGGAGGGGGCTGGGGAAGAGGCTGTTGGTCAGCCTCCCTGGGGAGGGGACACACAGCTTGGGGTTGGGGACAGGCGCTAGTCTGGCCCCACAGGGAACCAGCTCAGACCACTTGCAGATGTGTCCCGGCCGGGGTGGGACCCGTGAGCCGAGCGTCCACCGCCTTCTGCCAAGTGCTGCTGAAAGGAGCTACTGCCTTTGGTTTTACCTGGTATTTTCTTCTCTAGAGACAGATAAGAGAGAGGATTTTTTTTTATTTTATTTTATTTTATTTTATTTTATTTTATTTTATTTTAGTGACTCAGGAGCCAGTGGTCCCAAGATAAGCCCAAAATTAGGAAAATTTTTCTGTCTAGTAGCCTTAAAGCCTCAGGCAGCGGACTTTGAACTTTTTTAAAATCATATTTATTTTTGATTATGTATAGGAGTGTTTTGCCTGCATTCGCACCTGTACATCCTGTTCTGCAGCCCGAAGAGGCTTGGGATCATCTTAGTCAGTGTTCTATTGCTGTGAAGAGACACCATGACCATGACAACTCCATTTAACTGGGGCTGGCTACAGGTTCAGAGGTTTAGTCCACTGTCCTCGTGGAGGGGAGCACGCGGCACACAGGCAGACATGGCAACTGAGAGTTCTACCTCTGGATCAGCAGTCAGCAGGGAGAAAGCCACTGGGCCTGACTGGCCCTTGGAACCTCAAAGCCCACCCTGGTAACACACTATCTCCAACAGAGCCACACCTACAACAACAAGGCCACACTTCCTAATCCTGATCAAGGATCTCCCTAATGAGCAAGCATCCAAATACAGCAGCCTTTGGGCAGCCACCACAGATCCCTGGAACTAGAGTAGTTACTGCCAGTTGTGGGCCAGCAGGTAAGCGCTGGGCCCTGAACCCAGGTCCTCTTGCAAGCATAATAAGAGCTTTTAACCACTAAGCCGTTTCTCCCGCCCAGCGAAGTGAGCGTTTAAAAAGTAGTATGTGAAAGGTCTCCTTTTCTGAACGCTTAAGCCCTTAGAGACTTTGTAGCCAAACCCGGGGTCAGGGAACAGTGACAGGTGCCTGGCGGTGGCCCTTCACCACACTGGTACATGTAAGGGCACCCCAGAATTCCCTAACCACTGTCTACACCCTGCCCTGCCACTGACTGCCCATCAAGACCTAAATTACCCACATTTGAAGAAATACCTAGAAAACACGCAGAAAAGTTACAGAATTTAGTAGTTTTGCTTGAAAATGGATTAGAAAGGATTGACGCAGTTTGCCTCTGAGGTATCTTCTGGAAATGGGCCACGATCCACTGCCGAGATCGGGCTCCCAAGCAGCCATCCATGGCACACTTGGTTGCAGGCACCAGCAGGAAGTCAGGTCAGGCTGCATGGGACCCTCAAATGTGCTGGAGACAGGAGGTTCCCCAGAACCTCTCCAGCCCCTTTCCAGGCAACCTGCACGCCAAAGGCCAAAAGACCTGCAGTGGTTCTCAGCCAGTCCAACGAGCACCTTATCAAACCTTCCCACTCACGTCACCGTCACCCCCTCCCTCCCCATTTGTCTACAATGCTTCAGAACATTCTGGGGATTTCTAGCTCCTCTCTTCTCTATATGCTCCCTCAGACATAATGACACAGGCCCTCACGCCTGGCACGGTGTCTGTCGCATGGTAGGTCTCGACCACTTCTGTGCTGAAAACACCATTACACTTTCGTGTGGCTGCTCGTCACTGGAGGAAGTCAGGACAAGAAACAAGGCAGGAACCTGAAGGCAGAAACCGATGCAGAGGCCATGGAGGGGTGCTGCTTACTGGCTTGCTCAGCCTGCTTTCTTATAGAACCCAGGACCACCAGCCCAGGGATGGCATCACCCATCATGGGCTGTACCCTCCCCCATTAATCACTAATTAAGAAAACTCCCCACAGGCTTGCCTGCCCACAGCCCATGTGGGTAGTTGAGGTTCCCTCCTCTTAGATGACTCTCACTCATGTCAAGTTGGCATAAAACTAGCCAGTACAACTGATGCCTTGTCAACTTAAAACACAAGCATACATATATAGCTTTTCAGTTAGAACCTTTCCTTTCTCATTTGTCACCAGGATGGCATTTGTTTGTTTGTTTGTTCAGTTGGTTGGTTGATTGGTTGGTTGGTTGGTTGGTTGGTTTGCTTTGCTTTGGTTTTGAGTAGTTTGTTTTTTTAGGTTTTGTTGTTGTTGTTTAGTTGGTTGGTTGGTTGGTTGGTTGGTTGGTTGGTTGGTTGGTTGGTTGGTTGGTTTTTCGAGGCAGGGTTTCTTTGTGTAGCCCTGGCCATCCTGAAACTCAGTGTGTAGACCAGGCTGGCTTTGAACTCAGATATCTGCCTGCCTCTGCCTCCCAAGTGCTGACATTAAAGGGGTGTCACTACCACCTTAACAAGATTTTTATTAACATGTTAATAAAAATATTGCAATATAAAACAAATAACTTTAGAAGTCTCATAGTCTTTACAAATTTAAACACTTTAAAAGTTCAGCCTCTTTAAAATATCTATTCTCTTTTAAAATCCAAAGTCTCTGTAAAACTCCAAAAATCTCTTTAAAAGCTCAAAGTCTCTCAACTGTGGACTCCAGTAAAATAAAAAATAAATGCTTCCTTATTTCAACAGGGAATAACCAGGACAAGGTCACAACCTGAACGAACCAAAACCAAACTCTAACAGTGTAGAAGACTCAGTGCACAAGGCCTGGGGCTCACTCACGTCTTTTGGGGTCCAGGGGCTTGCCACCACACACACCGCTTGTCTCCTAGGCCCAGGCTAGCTCCACTTCCTAGCTGCTGTCCTTGGCAATTGGCCCACGGCACTGGGAATCTCTAAAATGCTGGCGTCTCCAGCTGCAATGGGGCTACACTTTAACCAGTAGCCTTTCCTGGGCTCTCTTCATGGTGCCAAAACTCAACTCTGTGTGGCCCCTTCAGTCCTGGGGCTTCCGCCCCTGCTGAGGCTGCACCTTCACTAATGGCTTCTCTTGTCTCTCACAGCGTCGAGTCTCAGCTGCTCACCACAGCCCCTTTATGCTTTCAAAACCAGCACCAGCTGGGAGACTCTTAGCAGTGACCGAGCTCAGCTGCCTGCCCAACCTTGGCTGCCTCTGGAACACAGCTTCTATGCGCTAACCCTGAGGAAACACTTTCCAGAAGATGTCACTCAGTGACGCTGGGCTCCTCCTAATCAGAGCTCATTTCTCACTCCAGCTGACCGGCACCAGTTAGCCTAGTAATGCAGAGCTTTCATTTAGTGGTGCTGGTCTCTTCTTAATCACTGCTGACTCTTCAGCTAGAGCTGACTAAAATAAGGACTCTCAACTCAAAATAGCAAAGGGCCATGACAGAGTATTTAAGGGACACTCAAAATCTCCCCGGAAAAGCCAGGTCTCCACGGTGGGCATTGCGCTCAACATTCTCATCTTCCAAGCTCCCACAGAGCAGCTCCCCAAACTTTGAACACTTAGTGAGTTTTCCAGCCCAAAGTTTCAGAGTCTACAATCCTCCCGAAATCCACAGTCAACTCTATCACAGCAATACCCCACAATCCTGGTACTAACTTCTACAGCACTGTCATCATTGAAGGAACTCAGGACAGGAACGCAAACAGAGCAGGAACCCAGAGGCAGGAGCTGATGCAGAGGCCATGGAGGAGTGTTGATTACTGGCTTGCTCGACATGGTTTGCTCACCTTGCTTTCTTAGAGGACCCAGGACCAGCACCCACAATAGTCTGGGCCCTCCCCGGTCAATCCCCTAATTAAGAAAATTCCCTACAGGCTTGCCTACAGCTCAATCTTAGGAAAACATTTTCTCAGTTGAAGTCCTCTCCTCTCAGATGACTCTAGCTTGTGTCAAGTTGACATAAAACTAGCCAGCACTGTAGGGGTGAATAAACATTTGCCATATTGAGTCAAATAGTAATGACGGTACCAGAATGGAGTCCACCCTTGACACAGCCGCCACCGACATTAAATGAGGCCTGAGCTGGAAAATGTGTTCCATTTTGTGACTCATGTTTTCATCCTCAGTTCCTACACAATGCTGTTTGTCACACTGGGACAAGTGCCTCTTTCTGGTGGCCTCCACAGACTGCCCCTCCGCTCCTCTCCACACTGTGACCCTGGAACAAATGGCAGCAGGACTCATAGGTGCAGTCATGTCTTTATTCCTTTAGTGACCAATACAACAGCACCACAGCACAGCAGGGGTCCTGCCTGAGGACCCTGGGAAGGCAGGGAGGACAGAGAGATGGGCGGTCAGCCATGGGCTCTTCTCCCCGAGGTGTGGAGAAAGCTGTGCCTGCCCGTCTCGCCCAGCAACCTGAGAGAAGCCACCGGGGAGGGCAGGTGTCTAGGCCAAAGTCCTACAACCCATGTCAGCCCCGATCTACCCCAAAGCACCAGGGCTGAGGAAGGTTCCAGGCAGAGCCAAGGAAGGGTGACCTGTTAAGAAGAGCTTGCGTGTGTGTTGTATGCGTGTGTGTACATGTGTGTGCTTGTGTGTGTATGGGGCAAGATGTCTACACTACTTAGCATATGAGATATAACTGCTAAGCCACAGGACCTGCCTGGGGACAAGAGAGACCAGGAACCAGGGCCTCGGAGCTCTGGAATCTGAGTCGGGACAGAGGCCACTGTCCCCACTACTTCCATTCAGAGAGGGTGGCGGCTCCTGTTGGAAGCAGGTTTAGAACAGGCACTGCCCTTGGGCCTGGGCAGAGGGGCCACCCCGGCCTGCGCCCACATCACGTGTAGGCCATCTTGCTGCACACCCAGGGACGGGTCGTCAGACACTCCGTTGACACCAGCCTGGTGGGTTCCACGAAGACACACTCCCCCATTCCTGAGATCGAGAATCTGTGGTAGAAGAGACAAGACCAAGTGCTTGCACGCAGCCCATCCCAGGCAGCCCGTCCCAGGCAGCCGGTCCCAGGCAGCCCATCCCAGGCAGCCCTGAGGCCCTTTGCCTGTACCTCCCTCCAGCCATCCCTCACTGGGCTAGCTTCCAAGACAGACATCGGTGTACCTTCCTAGCTCGCTCCTCCGCTGACCCAGCCCTGGGCCCCGACCACGAGGCCTGCTCCACACATATGCCACCAATGCTCTGGGCCTTCCTCACCCTGTTCCTATCCTTCCAGGGCCAGCGCCCAGGTGTCCAGCTCGGAGCCACCTTCTGCCCACCTTACCCCCATAGAACCCTGTTTGCACCTTTCGCCACACCCTTGAGGGGCAGTGTCTGTTCCCACCAGTGAGGCAGGCAGCGTCTGAGCACAGTGCAGGCTCTGCGTCCTGCTCGTCTGTGCTCCTCGACAGCACAGTGTCCGGAAAGGAAGGCTGAACTAAATCATCCTCGCAGGACTGGCAGGGACAACCCGCATAATGAAGAGTCGGGCCTGGAATTCATCAAAACCACGACGCAGGGCCCTGGGGCTGTTCCCCCAGTCTGCTCCCTGGTAGCTGAGAGGCCGTTGAGCCAAGCGGTCAGCCCCTGAGAGACCCTAGCCTCATAGCCTCTCTGGAACACTAAGAGCAGGAAGTTTCCAGAGGGGCAAAGAAAGGTTCTTCCATCTCTAGGCTGCGAGAGAGAAAGGGATGCTGTTCCCTAGCATCCAGACCAGAAGCTTAGCACTCACTTCCGCAGAGGTGACCTGACTGTCCCTAAGCCTACCCTGCTGCCCAAGACCATCGCCGCATCATCTGGCCATACAAACACAGCACCACTGTGCCCCCAACACCTCCCTCGGGGCACCCGAGGATGCTACCACGGGGAGCCACAACGCCAATGGGCAGCTGTGTTCAGAGTTCCCGTCTTCCACAACACACCTGGGGCCCGCTAACCACAGAAGGCACATCTCCCGTCATGCCTTGCAACCAGGTGTGGACATGTGACTAAGTTCTGGCCAACAGGAGCGGCACAGATGGGGTAGTCCCAGATGGGGGAGATCTTCGTCTCTCACCGTGAAGCTCCGCGTACCACAGAGCCACCAAACCAGGCCGGACTTTGAGGGGAATCAATCAGTTTCATAACGAGACCCCTGCCACAGACCCCAGCTGCCTTGAGACCTAGCGTCTGTAGCTGCCACACAGCCGCGCGCCTCTCCCAGAGCCGCCTCAGGGGCTCATCTCCCGTCTAAGCTCTTCTCTCCTAGGAAACGGAGTCTCTGCTCACGTGTCTGGGTCAAACGGGTCCCCATTGACCCAGTGGAAGTCGTCCCCGACTCTGCGCAGGCCAATCCACGGCTCCCTCCGCGTGAACTTGAACAGAAATTCCTGCAAAGAGAAAGAGAAACCCGGTCATGGGGCGCAGTTCTGTCACTGGGGCACGGCCCAAGCCAAGGCTCGGCCTGGTGGGTACTGGTGGGTACCAGGAGGATGGGTCACTTTGACAGGAGGGTGAGGATCAACAAACCCTGGGCAGGCAGGCCGCCACACTGCTGGAACAAGACTGGAACAGCTTCCCAAGGTGAGGTCGCCGCTGCCGTCCTCGGGAAAGTAAAAAGATCCCGTCCCCCAGCTCGCCTCTGCTAAGGCCTCTGCTAAGTAGCCGGAAGTTGGGGGTGGCTCTCTTAGATTTCTGGCCAAATCTTACCCCGGCTAAGCTCCTACCTATACTATTAGACTTTCTCAAAAAGTGACACAGAAATACTGGGCACTGCAGACAAACAGAAGCTGATTTAGAGACCCGTTCCTATCTATCGTTCACAGAGCTTTGTCACAAAGATTCAGGGATTCTGTTTCTTCAGCCTTTCTGTTGGCAAAACAGCTTGAGGTGTTAACTGAGCCAGCACCTAGGTTTGGAGGGTAGGAAATGAGGACGCTTTTAATTGTCTGAGGGTGTTCTCGGCCTCTGTGTCACCCTCTAGCTTAGCCGAGCAGCCTTGGGTGACAGCGGCCTGGAGGAGGTTCAGGTGTTCAGACCCCAGGGGCCTCACCTGTATCCCCGCGCTGTACAGCGGCTGGGTGACTGGAGACAGGCAGCCAGGGGGCCATTCTCCTTGGGTGTGGCTCTCCCATGGCTGTCAGGCGTGGGCCTGAAGGTCCCCTGCTTCTGCCCAGTGCTCACCAGTTCTTTCTGGCTTTGGATCACAGCCAGCGCCGCCTCGTGGGTATGGCAGTACTGCCTTCCGGTGTTCCAGTCTCTAGGCTCCTCCGAGAAGTAGTAGCATTTCCTTCCATAGAGTAGCCAGTCCTCTGGGCAGGGGGTCTCACACTTGATGCAGCCCTTGGACGCTTGGGGAGGGGGAGGGGCAGGGGCTGAGTGTCTGTGAGTAGGCCCGGCCACAGCCATGTTCCCAGTCCCTTCCCACAGCCCTCTCCCCCAGCACCCCCATTCCCCACCCTGGCCCCATCTGTCTGGCCTTCAGTGCCCTTCAGAGACACTGCTGAAGTCGCTGTGCCTCAGGCAGGAAATCCACACGAAGCGAACAAGAGGGCCATTGAGGAAGCCGCCATCAGGGGACAGTACAGGAGCAAACCCAAGGTAAAATCTCTCTCCTAACCCTAGGAATTCAGACCAGGAAGGGACCTGAAGGCCACATCTCTGCAGCCAGGGTAGGATCTGGCAGGATAGTGTGTCACTCTCGTAACCAGGCTCTTTCTCGCTGGCTCTCCATAACCCTGCTCACCCCTGAACTTCTGGGAATTTCCTTTTAAATTTTGAGTCCTGAGCCAGGCAGATGCCTCAGTGAGTAAAGACGCTTTGCCTCCAGACTTGACAACCAGAGCTGAATCCCTGGAACCCACAGAGTGGAAAGAGAAAACTAACTCCTGCAAATTGTCCCTTGACGTCTACATCCATGACCCCACCACTAAATATAAATGTAAAAAATATATGAAAACAAAAACAAACCACTAAGGGCTGGAGAGATGGCCCAGAGGTTAAGAGCACATGCTGCTCTTCCGAACAATCTGGGTTCAATTGCCAGAACTTACACGGCAGCTCACAACTATCTGCAACACCAGCTCTAGGGGATCCCGTGGCCTTTTCAGGCCTCCATAGCACACAGACACACACATATGGACATACACACAGAGAGACACATACAAACACATACAGACACAGAGAGACACATACACACACAGACACAAACCTCCCACACATTCTCTTTGGGGAAAGCAGTTCATACTGTCCTTCAACCTTCTAAGACCTCTCGTTACATGCTTACTTATACTCTGGGTCTCTTAGAAAACAGAACATGTGTTAATCCAAAAAAAAAAAAGTAGTTGTTAGTATAGCTTTGTTCTACATGTATTTATGTCTTTTGGGCTCATCTGAGACTTGGTTTCACTGTTAGTCCTGGCTGGCCTGGACCTCACTGTGTAGACCAGACTGGCCTCAAACTCACAGATATCTGCTTGCCTCTGGCCCCCAAGTTCAGGGATTTAAAAGCATGAGCCACTCATTTGAAATTTCAAACATAAGTTTTAGTTTTAGATTTCAGCCAAAGCCAAATTCTCTAAGGCTGACCTTGAACTCCTGATCCTCCTGTCTCTAAGTCCCCAGTCCTGAAGTAAAAGGTGTGTGCCACTATGCAGGCCTTAATGGTAAGTTAATTTTAATTCTTTTCCCCATCCATCATATGGGATTGTGTTAACTTCAAATTTTATGAGCATGTGGTTTCTTCTCCTTCATATAAATGATTAATTAAACTCCTGAGTAAGATAGGCCAAGAGCACACCACACCAGCCAAGGAGCTACACTGCCCTGGGGCCTCCCACAGGGACACTGACGCACTGTTGGACACTGTGGGCATGCCTACTCACTGCCTCAGGTCCACTCGGGAGCGCTGGCCATGGCGTGGCTGCCTTCCTGGGTTGCCCTGAGGAACAGCTGAGCTTTGCCGAAAGCACCAGACCCAGGTCCATACATTCCCTGACCTCCCAACCCAGGACAAGAATTAAGGCAAAGTGAGTCCTTTTGTAGCCTTATTCTAGGCAAAGTCGATCCGGCCCCAGTGGCCACTCAGTCCGTTTGCACACACATTCAGACCCTCTGCTTATCAAACAAGTTGGACAAGGGAGATTTTGGTAGAGACTGATCGTGTCAGCGGATTTTCACCATTTTAATGAGGCTTCCTATTCCTGGTCTAACTGCTTTCTAAATATTGAAGACCAGGAGTTCAAGGTCCGCCTCAGCAACACAGGGAATTCAAGGTCAAACTAGGCTACATCAGAGCCTGTCTCAAGAAGAAAAAGAAAAGGAAGAGGAGGAAAAAGAGGAGAAGAAGGAGGGGAAAGGGAGGAGGGGGAGGAAGGGGAAAAGGATGAGGAGGAAGAGGGGGTGGAAAAAGAAGAAGATTAAAAAAACAAAAACAAAAAACAAAAAACACCTGCAATCACTTCTGCAAAACTCGAAGAGGCCAAGACATTTTTCCAGAAGTCTCAAGAGCACTCAGATCCCTGCTCAGAGCCTCGCTGTCCTGCTTCACCTCACAGTTAGTCCGCTCAGTACCACACAGCACCTGTGCTTGTTTCTGTGTAGCCTCCAGAGTGTGCCCCTTCGGCACAAGGATTATTTTGAGCTGAAGACAACTGAGAGTCAACAAATGCAAGGAAAGCTGCCTTGCCCTCCTCCCCCGGTCCCCAATACTACCCCCAGCGCTTGCTCCAGGATCTGACGTAGCAAGGCTCAACAGGTGTTTGTTGAATGAATGTGATGTTTAAGGTCTCATATCTCCAAACCATCACCTCCAAGAGGCGTTGTCTGCCTAACATAGCCTGATCTGAATGCCCACAGCATTTATGAGCTAATTCCTTGCTACCTTGATTCCTACACAGGCAATGAAGGGGACGTGCACAGTCCTTGTGGGACTGTATTACTTTAGGCTACAACTGTGTTACCAACCCACACTCTATTTCTCATTGACTGTGTCCCACCCCTGAATTCCTGATACATGGAGGAATTTACCTAGCTGCACATACTGGGACCAAGCGTGCAGAAGCCACATTGCTGACACACTCCGACATGCACACTCACCCAGGATGCTCATGACCACCAGGATGGCAAACAGAAGGACCGCAATGGCCCCCAGCAGCAGACGTGTGGTAGTATCTAAAGGGAAGACAAACGAGTCAGGATCAGCTGCCAGGCTGTTGCCAACCACCACCACCATCCCCAGGTCCTAACAGCAAAGCCTTATGGGCTGGAAGCAACCCTCAGGGTGACTGTGGTGATGCCATTTGAGAGCCACTCTTCCGGCCATGGCCCCAGGTCTGTCACCGCTACTGCCCACAGGCTCCCTCGAAGGCAGTCACACCTTTCTGATTTAGACTGACCTGGGGCTTTTCAGGCACACTGCAGGTTTCGCCTCCTGCCCTCACAACCTCGTGACAGGGTCTCTGCTCCCCAGGTCCTCCTCCTGTGCCCACACCGCCTGGCACCCTGCCCACCCTACAGCATGTCACCCACCCATACCTCCAGCTTCTCCTCACTTTCATTCCCACTTTACATTTTTATCTTTTTAGTTTTTTGAGACAGGGTTTCTCTGTGTAGCCCTGGCTGTCCTGGAACTAGCACTGTAGACCAGGATGGCCTCGAACTCATAGAGATACGCCTGCCTCTGCCTCCCAACTGCTGGGATTAAAGGGGTGTGCCACCACTGCCTGGCTCAATATTTTTTATCTTAATAAAGGAAGCCTTTTTGATTTAAACATAGGGTTTTCTTTTTAAGATTCGTGCTGTGATATATAGGTCATATTGTGATATATAGCTTGTAAGATGCATATAATACACGATAGCATTAAGTAGCCAGGCTGTCCCCATCATCTGTTCACGAAACTTTCACCTCTGAATTCAAAGGCTACATACCCACTAACCCATGACTCCTGAGCCCCACCTCCCAGCCACCATCCCTCTGCTTGGGCCCCATTCATTTGCCTGTCCTGCTTATTTCATGAGTGTACTCTTACGGCACTTTTTCTTTTGTGTCAGGCCCTCTTCACTTAACACGTCCTCAAGATTCATCTGTTTTGTAGCATGGAACAGAACCTCGCTCCTTTCTGTGGTTTATTATTTTGATATGTGGATACACCGCATTTGGCCTCTCTATTTGTGACAGTTAATTTAACGGTCAACAAGAGGAGAGGGTTGCAGGGAAGGACTGTGTAGATCAGGTTAGGCATGCCTGTGGGGGATTGCCTGGGCTGTGTTCCTTGTGGGGAGAAGCCCAGTGGGTGGCACGCTTCCCTGCCTCAGTCAGAGTGGGGACTGTGAGCTGGGCAGTGAGCATTTGGAAGAAATGCGTGCGTTTCTCTCTGCCTTGACTGTAGTGTGACCAGCTGCTTCAAGCTCCTGCCCCGATTTCCCGGCAGTTATAAGCAAAAATCAACCCTAAGTCGTTTCCTGGCTCAGATTTTTTTTTTTTATCACAGCAATGGAAACAAGACTAGGACACCATTAACCTGTTGGCAGACACGTGGGGCGCTTCACCTTGGCCACTGTGAGTCACGCAGCTATGAACGTGGTGGAAAGATCTGTCGGGGGCCCCTGCTTCCGGTTCTTTGGGATACAGGCCTAGGGACTGCTGGATCAGAAAGCAGCTATGTCCAAGCTTTTGAGGAGTCATCAAATTGTGATTATAACATTTTACGTCTCTATCAGCAACACTGCAGGGGTTTCGTTTCCCCATATGCTAGCACCTGCTGCTTTCCATTTTCTTCTTATCGCCATGATTACCGTTATCTATAACATCCTTGGAGCCATGAACGCCTCTTCTACATTTTTTGCCTTGGCTTTTTCTACCATCTTGACCATTAAATGTACAGATATCACATTGGTGGATATCACATTGGTGCTTATTAATTCAGCATATGAATATTGGGGAGGAAATTAACCTTCAATTCAAAGCAGTTGTCTCAGAGATGTAGCATCTGGACCCTTCTGACCTGCTCTAGCCCGACCCAGCTGCTGGCCCTGGCTGGCCTGAGTCTCCCTAAACCAGTGGCCTGAGAGTTTCTCTGCCCCAGTCCTGTGTTGGCTTCCTGTGTTTCCTCCCCCGGATCTGCTCTTCTGCGGCTTACTCCTTCACCCTGATACAGCATCTTTTAGCAGCTGCCTCCAGATGAAGTACAATAGGGACACAGAGAGAACTTGGTTGTGAAGAGTATGAACTGTCCTTGCAGAAGATCTGAATTCAGTTCCTAGCACCCATGTCACAAAGCTCACAGCCACCAGTAACTCCAGCTCTAGATCCAACCCCCCTTCCTGGCCTCTGCAGTTCCTGACTGCACACACACACACACACACACACACACACACACACACACACACACACAATTAATCTGCCGTAAGTACAAGCCCCATGGTGAATAGTACCCCGGAGTAAGTGATGTGGTCTGGAAATCATTCCTCAGAACTTTGAAAGTGTGTGTTGTCACCTAGCGGCGCCAGTGTCATCTTTGAAAAGCCTAGCTCTCTATCTTCACCGTCAGCCATTTTATTTCAATCACTTGATTGGGTTCTAGCCAAGAATTCCATCCTGCATGTCACACAGTGATTGAATATAGATACTTCTATCTACTTTAGCAGGCAATTGATGAGCCTCTTCAACCTGGAAATTCATGTCCTTCAGTGCCTTCAGAAAAAAAATTTCTTTAATTATATCATTGATGATTTCTTCCCTTTCATTTTCTGATTTCCTTCTGAAAGTCAAAGTCTTTAAATGTTTGAGCTCGTGGGTTGTTCCTCTTTCTCCTCCTCCTCCTTTTTTCCCCTCCTCTTTATTTTTCTCCTCCTCTTTTTCTCCACCTCTTCCCTTTTCTCCTCCTCTTCCTTTTCCTCTTCCTCCTCCTTTTTCTCCTCCTTCCTTTTCCTCTTCCTCCTCTTTTTTCTCCTCCTCCTTCTTTTCAGCCTCTTTCTTTTCCTCTTCCTCCTCTTCCTATTTCTTTACCTCTGGTTTATTTCTGGGAAGATTTCTTCAACTTCATCCTCTGGTCCTTCTACCAGGTTTTCCACTTCTGTAATGATAATTTACAGTCTTTGCTCCAGCTGGGCCATGGCCGTCCTCTCTTAAAGCAACCTCTTCCTGTTTAGTGATGCTGCATTCCCTGTTTCTGAAGATACTGAGTTCTTTGACAAGAGGAGAGGTGGGAAGAATGTTCACTCCTCCCCGTGTTGTTCAGGGCTGAGGCAAAGGAACTAGACAGTTCCCTGGAGCCTCTGCATCTGCTGTTATCTGTGGGAGCACAGCAGTACCCCCACAATCCTGGTACCAACTTGTCTTGGTTAGGGTCACCATTGCTGTGATGAAACACCAAAGCCAAAGCAACTTAAGGAGGAAAGGGCCTATTTAGTTTATGCTTCCTCATTGCTGTTCATCATCAAAGGAAGTCAAGACAGGAACTCAAGCAGGGCAGGAACCTGGAGGCAGGAGCTGATGCAGAGGCCATGGAAGGTGCTATATATAGGCTTGGAGAGGGCTCCTCCTAAGAAGGCTGGGAGAACACCCTCCACATTTAGCATGTAAAGGTGGACTCCATGGCCTTCTCCTTATGTAGCCCTGTATAGCACCCTGATTCTTGAGTTTTACCTCAAGTCCCTACCAGAGATGGGGACAGGCTATTTAGATCTGGAGTGCTTATCTCAAAGATATTTCATACCCTTCTTCCTATTTTCAGCCCATCTTCTGGCATTCCCCTGTCACTGGGTTCTTGGGTCCTCGACTTGAGATTCCTATGGCTCCTGTGTTCTTTGGTCTTTCTCAGGTGGACCTAAGTCCATAACCACTCAGCCTGACTCACAAGCTCTTAGCTCCAGTTGTTACTGTGATCAACATTTGAAATGTCCCTCACCTGTTTGTTAATCACTGCTAAAGGGGTAGAGAATGAAATTCTGCATTCAGACAGTGGTCTTGACCTCTGAAGCCCACAAACACTCCAGGTTCATTCCTTTAAGCAAGGTCAGTGCACCAGCGGAAATCCACTGGGCGCCACAGAGGTCTCTAGGTGTCTATACACGGGCCCCTACCTGAGGTCTATGCTGGGTTCTTCCAGGAACTAAGCTGGATTCCTCAGGGGTCAATACTGAGCTCCACTCACGCCTAGCTGCCCTCCACAGTTCTGCCCTGGGCTGTACCAGGATCCACCAGTAGTTCCCTCCAGGGGTCCATGCTTGTCTTTTCCAGGAGTCTATCTGCACTCCACTGATGAGTTCTGCACTAGGGTCTCCCAGGGCTCAACAGTGAGCTCAGCTAGAGACCAGATTCCCCAGGGTCCCCACTGCATTCCTCCTGGAGTCTACGCTGCCGTCCACTAGAGGCCTACACTGTCTGCACCAGGCTCCATCAGGAAACTTCGCTCAGTTCATTGGGAGCCTATTCTGGGCTCCATCAGGGGTCTACACTAGGTTCCTTTAGATGTCTATGCTGGGTTCCTCTGGTGACTAAGCCACATTTCTCAGGGGGTCTATGCTAAGTTCTACTGGGCTCTGCACTAGGTTCCTCCAGGGGACCATACTGGGTTCTTCCATGGGTCTACACTAGGGTTCTCCATTGGGTTCTTCAGTGCCCTGGGTCCTGCTAGAGCCTGCACTGGATTCCTTGAGGGGTCTATACTGGGTTCCTGGAGGTCTACTCTGAGCTGCAACCAGAATCTATGGCTGTGCCCGCCAGGAGTCTGGGCGGATGGCTTCAGCCAGCGTGAGAGCGGAGACTGAAGAGCACCCTGAAACACAGCCCTTCCTCACTGCATGGCTGTGAGGGGTGCAGACTCAGCACAGCCTACACCAATGGGAACGACGCACGCCACAGGGCAGAGCACACTGCTGCCCAGCCTCGCTCTCCTCCTTCAAACCTATGTGCCAAGGGTGTACATGGCCTGAGTCACCTTCTGGGGATGAGAACAGCATCTGAAAGCACTTCATGGGCCCCTGTCTAGACTCTGCCCCATTCTGGATGTGGACACAAAACAGCATTACAGAGCATCTATTCTGCTCCACTTTCTCCATCTCAGAACGTATCTCTTGGGTTTTTATGAGACACCAATGCACACAAGGCCCTCCCTATCTGTGGGTTCCTATCTGCACACTCATCCAACTCTAGATCAAGATACGGAAAAGTTGCATCAGTACTGGACATGTGCAGACTTTCATGTCATGTTGTTTTTCCTTAAACAATACAGAAAAGCAACTAAGTATATAGCATTTACATTATACCTGACATTATAGTGAATCTAGAAACGTTTAAAGCTTATACCATGTGAGCAGATTCTATGCAAATATGCCATTTGCGCTCAGGCACTTGAGTATCCCTGGATCTGATGAAGGTATCTGGTATTGATGTCCTGTGGCTGCTGAGGGAGAACGATACAGCGCTTAGAACTGTGTCTCACATGGTGTGTGCTGTGTGCCCTCACTATAATGATGGCGAGCCCTAAGCTCCTTTGGATTAAGAACTGTGCCGAGTTCCTTTGGGTTCCCAAGAACAGTACAGATTGAGATTCAATACTACATGAAATGCAGTGTCCCCGGCCAGCCTTACAATTCAATCGGGTTAGAGGAACTCAGTAGAAAAGGAGGGTGTATGCATGTATATACACCACCAAAACTGAGGAGCCTCTTCTCTCCTTCCGCAGTGTGGACAGAAGGACACCCTGGACATAGTCTTCACAGGCTGCCTTTCAGAGGCCTGGACCCAGACAGGTGGGGTCCGTGTGGTGCCTGCTTCCCGGAACACATAACTAAGTACCAACAGCTGGGTGGCTTCAAAAATAAGGAATCCTCATAAGAACCAGGAGTCCATGGCTGGGCACAGCGGCACACGCCTTAATCCCAGCACTTGGGAGGCAGAGGCAGCGGATCACCATGAGTTGGAGGACAGCCTGGTGTACAGAGCGAGTCCAGGACAGCCAGGGAGAAACCTGGCTCAAAAAACCCAAGACAGAAAGAAAGGAAGGAAGGAAGGAAGGAAGGGAGGGAGGGAGGGAGGGAGGGAGGGAAAGGAAGGAAGGAAGGAAGGAAGGAAGGAAGGAAGGAAGGAAAGAAAGAAAGAAAGAAAGAAAGAAAGAAAGAAAGAAAGAAAGAAAGGAAGGAAGGAAGGAAGGAAGAAAGAAAGAGAGAAAGAGAAACCCAAACACTGAGGTGTTAGCTGGACCATGCTGTCTTTGAAGCCTCACAGAAACCTTGCTTGATTCATCCTAGCTCCTGGTGCTTTGGTAAAAGCCCTTGGCCCATGACTTACCCCTTCACCCTCAGTCATTCTTCGCACATGGCCTTCTAGGGAGCGGCTGTGTTTGTCTAAGGACACTAGTTCATATTGAATTGGGGCCCACCGACTTCATTCTGGCTTCCTCTTAACTAATCATGCCTGCTGGGACTACAGTTCCACCAAAGAGCACATTCTGAGGTCCTAGGAGTTAGGGCTCACCAGGGCGCTTGTGGTATGAATGTAAGATAACTTTTCACAAGCATCTAACTTGGTGATCATCTCACTATGCAATGGCCCACCCCCATAAGCTAGTGTTTACAGGGGCAGGTTATCTGGGCTTCTGAATGCATATTATGTGGCCTAATATTAAAAAGAACAACTGGAAAACACTGGCTCTTCATACGAGACAGAACCCCCTCGTGCCCATACCCTTTAAAAGGCCGTGGCTGATGTCTTAAACCATCTGGGGCACAGCCGGGCCAGTGTAATCCTGACTACATAAAAAATGCTAAAATGTGGAGCTTGGTAAGTTTTTAAAATTTTTAGGTAGCTCTTGCCAAATGCATGTGTGTGGTTTTGATGAGGAAGTTGTGGGTTTGTGCCTAATAAAAAAACTTTCAACATTAAAAATTCAGAATTGGTGACCACTGAGAAATCTATAGAACCTGAGGTATGCAGCGTCACGCTGTCCCCTCTCCTACCCGAGAACACTTTGCCCCACTCTCAGGCCCAAGGCTAGAAATAGCCCTATCCTGAATCACCTTCAGGGTTTCAGACCCCAGCGAGGCATCCACGTGCTGCGTCGTTACCAGCCTCCGCCTGCATCTGGAAGGACAGACTCACGCCCGCAGCGAAAGCGGCCTTCACCAGGCCAGCTACTGGATGGCTTTCACGGTTCAGGGAGGACTGCCTTCTAGACCTCAGCCTCTGACTGAAGCTCTCCCACCCCTTAAGCCATGAAGAGGGCAGAACTGCCCCTCCTGAGGGTGGCAGAGTCCTCTGATGGCCTCTGAGGGGGCAGGAGAGGAGAGCCGTGTGCTCAGAAAATGCAACCAGATTCTCCCTAGTTAGCTCTTCTGAGCCCAGTGTCCTTGGTCGCACAGGAAGAGGGACCAACTTTCCATATCAGAGAGCCTGGCAGCAAATCCCTGGGGGGTCTCATGTGTTAGTGCCAGTGTGTCCTTGAGGGAGATATTTAAGACTCTCCAGTGCTGATCCACTGGAGATGAGAGCCAGAGAGTGACTAAAGTATACCTGGCCCCATGGGTAGGTCACAGCTGCTGGGGACAAAGTAAGATCAGGGTTCAGGGAGCTCTGGGGGTTCAGCTGTATCATTTCAGATGCTCCCCTTTCTTTAAGATAGGGGCCGGACTAAGCAGAGGCTGCAAGCCCACTGGGCCCCCAGAATCCCCCTTGGGGCATATTATTAAGTGAACTGAAGTGGGGCAAGACCAGCCTCCAGAGCAAAGGACTCAAGGGCTCCAGCTGAGCAGCAGGTCATCCGTTCCCTGGCCTCCTCACCTAGGCTGTCCAGCTCTGTGCTCAGGTTGCTGGGGAAGGAGTCACCACAACAGAACCTACACTCCAGACCTTTCTCTGATTAGCTCTGTAAGGTGGAAGCTGTGAGATGAGCATGAGTCACAAGATGGGGCTTCAGCTGGTGGGGACCGGTGGCTCAAGTTTACCTTTAAGCTCTTTGTAGCTCCCCAAACTGACTCTGCCCCTGTTCTAGGGTCTCTGAGGGGGCTGGATATGCCCAGGGCCTAAGATGGTGTGTTAGCACTGGAGAAAGAATAAACAAGCCAGCTCAAAGGTCCCATAAAGCAGCAGCCACTGGTGATGACCAATCCCAACCCACAAGCTCTCCTCTTTGGATGGAGACAGGGCACCAACAGAAAAAAAAAAAAAAAAAAAAAAAAAGTCAGCAGGCTAAGACACTGAACACCCCAGAGCCATTGGGACGGGGTGCCCTTATGTGCACCAGAGACTAAAAGAGGGACAATGGTGACATCAGTAGGGAGCCATGCCAGTTCAGACGAGATGAGGCCGGACTACAGGAAGATGGCAAGTACAGCGGTGCTGGACCACCACAGAGAGCATCTTGCTTTCCTCCTGCCCAGCGTGTGGCCTCTTCCTCAGCTGATGGGCACAGGCCATCAGCCACACAGCCAGTAGGAAGGACAAGAGTTGACGTATTCAGGGCCAGAGAGGAGCCAACCAGCCACACTACCCTGAAATAACCCTACCCAATGGAGCTAAGGGCAAATGTTAGTAGAGCTGACCTTTCAAATACTTATAAAAGAAAAAAGAAATACAAACTAGAGAAGAGAGTGACATCAGGAAATACCTTTGGTAGGAGGCAAGCTTAGGTCACAGGGAAAACCCAGACACTAGCCAGACATGCTAAACGTGCATCCAAGAAGGGTTGGTTGGCCTTTATTCCATCCAAGTGTCTGTTCTGAGCTGGGGCTCTTTGTAACGGCCTTGCTTCTGGGGAAACTGTGTCTTTACCTCCATGGTTCCTAACCACTATTGGGCTTCTTCGGAGTCTGCACAGCCCTCCACAGTGCCCTTCCCTGGCACTCCATCCCCTCCATCACCTCTCCGGGCACAGGTCCTCTCCAGACCACCACCCACCTTCCTCACTGACCAGCCTTCCACAGCAGGTCTTCCTTATGCAAATCTGCTGTCTTAACCCCTCAACCGCTTCTCCAAACAAACAAACAAACAAACCTCTGTATCCTGGCCTTGCTGCTTCCTCAGATATATCCATCTCATATTCTCTCCCTCTTCTCTCTCTCTCTCTCTCTCTCTCTCTCTCTCTCCATTCCTCGCTCCCCATGCCTCCATCAGTACCCAGCACCCTATGGTTCAGTTATCCACAGGTTCTAGCTGGTTCCCGCCACGTTGTTCCTTGACCTGGTGCACCCTCGCCTGTCCCACACCCCTGAAAGACCGCCTCCCTCGGACTCTGTCCCTGGCTAATGCTACCCAGTTCCTACGGACTAGAAGCATGAGAAGCACCTGGAAGGTGACCAACTCCAGCATCTCCTGAACACCACTCACTGGAGGCCAATTCAAATTTCCTTAAAAAGTCTGTGAACTGAAGCCTCTCCTGGAGCGCCCGGGGTCATCCCTGAACCAGTATGACAAAAAGGAATAAGTGGCATCCCAAAGTCGCTAGGAGGAGCTTCTGGGGTTTCCTCTCCACCAGCCCGTCACCAGCAATGAGCCCCTCACGTCCCACAGGGTGCAGGCAGCACCTCAGGGAACCAGAGCTTTTGCTTTAATGAAGCACTGTTTTCTCTGCTACAGATTCAGGCCAACACGCTGGTGCTTCACACCGGACCCAACTAAGGCTTGGAGAATGAAGCGTGCTCCAAGGTCAAAGAGGCAGCAAAGACTGATAAAGGCAGTGACCGGAGGTGGTCCCCAGGGCCCCTTCGCCCTCTTATAGTGACATCTGCCTGCCCCTAAACCAGTGAGTCCTCCGAGCCGCCCTCCCCTCTGCGAGCTGTCAAGGTGACCGGCCACTTCCTGGGTCCCGAGCCGGGGGTCGGGGGATGGAAGGCTGCGCGCTTACCCTCCAAGGCCGCCTTCCAGCTGGTGCTGCCCTCGTAGCCTGACCCCGATCGCCGGAGCAGCCCCTCTGGGCCGCGGGCTTCGGCCTCGGCCGGAGAGCGCGGCCTGGGCGCAGCGGGCGCGGGGCGGGCGCAGGAGGGCAGCACCAGCTGGAAGGCGGCCGTGGAGGGTAAGCGCGCAGCCTTCCAC